AGGGCAACGGAGCTGGGGCAGGGTCTGGAGCACAGGTCTGCTGGGGAGCGGCTGGGGGAACTGGGGGGGTTCAGTCTGGAGAAGAGGAGGCTGAGGGGAGACCTCCTGGCCCTCTGCAACTCCCTGCCAGGAGGGGGCAGAGAGGGGGGATGAGTCTCTGGAGCCAAGGAGCCAGCGCCAGGCCCCGAGGGAATGGCCTCAAGCTGCCCAGGGCAGGGTCAGGCTGGCTCTGAGGAAGGATTTCTGTGCAGAAGGGGCTGTTGGGCGTTGGAATGGGCTGCCCAGGGCAGGGGGGAGTCCCCGGGATCCCTGGAGGGGTTGAAGAGTCGGGCTGAGCCAGCGCTGAGGGATCTGGTGGAGTTGGGAACACAGTCAGGGTGAGGGTCATGGTTGGGCTGGAGGATCTTCAAGGGCTTTTCCAACCCAGGTGATTCTGAATTAAGCCCTGTCCTCCCCTGCTCACTTCCCTTCCAATGCCTTGACTGTTTTTACCAGCTGACGAGTTTTTTCCAGCCCCGTGACAGGGCATGCTTGGTAGATGGATGCGCGATAGCATCTGTTTCCTTCACTATGTTAGAAATTTGGAAGGTAATTGCACTGGAGAAAGCGGAGATTAATTACGAGATTAGTCAGGGGGTTGCAGCGTGCTGAGCAGTGAACCAAGCCGGTGTGCTGGAGTCGGCTGTTGCTGTTTATAGCTTTAATTACACTGGCTGGTAACAGGATCCCTGTAACTTGCTGAGGGAGCGAAGTGATAAGGGTGATGGGGAAAACGATACGAGTGGAGAGCATGTCCCGTCACAGAGGGAGAAAAGTGGGGCAGCCAGAGGCATCGCAGTATCCCTGTAAGGCTGAGCTGGAGGATAGGCGAGAGCTCTGTCCTCCCCAGCTTCCCCCTCTCCCTTCTGTGAGGATGGAGGAAGCAGAAATCACTTCTGCCCTTTTCTCTGCCTTTCACACCATGCAGGGATGCTCCTTTCCGTCCATTCTAAGATCTGTCTGCCCCCAGCCTCCCTGTGCCCTCCCTGGCCTTTGCTACTCCTGACCTGTGGGTTGTTGTTTTTAATCTCCTTAGGAGGCCGTAACGAAGCGCTTTGGCGTGCCTGGATCCCAGCTACGAATCTACCTGCATTACCAACCCTCCTACTACCACCTGCACGTGCATTTCACTGCCCTGGGTTACGATGCCCCGGGCAGCTCGGTGGAGAGAGCTCATCTCCTGGCAGACGTGATCGACAACCTGGCCATGGACTCCATGTACTACCAGAAACGGGCTTTGACCTTTGCCCTCCGGGCTGATGAACTTCTGCTGAAGAAATTCCAGGAGGCAGGAAGAGTGTGAGCTGGCAGAGGTGCTTTTTGTATCTTTTTATTCTTAATAAATGCCCGTTTTCAGGGTTTTTATTTTTTGTAACTGTTTTTTTGTACAACTTGGGGCTGGCAGCCCATTGCTATGGAAACCATGTCTTCTGTTCAAGTCAATTAAAATGTTGATTGAGTAACCCCTTCTAGTGTGCTGGTCTTTACCAGGGTCATAGCACTGGGCTGGGGGTTTGGGCAGGAGGATCCATGTGCATCCATTTTCTCCACCCAAAAAACAATCCCTGCCACTAAATGTCCACCCAAACTGGGCAGCAGGCAGCTGGAGGGGTCCAAGAAAACCCGTCACCCTCAGAAATTTTCACTTATTTCCTATGGATATACTCCTGGGAGAGGGATTGCAGCTTTCCTGGGGCAGGGAGGGGTTTTTTGCTCCAAATAAATGGAATGACTAACCCAAGTCCTCACCCCTCCTGGCCAGCCAGCCGCCGTGGGCTCTGCCGAGGCAAATGTGACTGTGCCTGATCCCCAGCCTGAGAGCCATCACTTTTACCGTGCTAATTAGTCATATATCCGGCTTAAATGAGCTCGTTTAAAAGGGCAGCCCCTCCCTGACACAGGCTTCTCAAAGTTTTGCAAGGATTCCTTGGTGTGCCTGTTAAAAAAAACAACCCAGAACATAAGTAATAATGTTCTTCCTTCTGCCAAGGGGGTGGTAGGGCAGGGCAGTAAATACCTTCCTGCAGCTGGAGGTCCTGACAGAGGAGCCTCCCAAGCCTCTGGCTGATGTTACTGCCACTTTCTACCTCTGCTGAGCTTTTTCTTCCTCTTCCAGCACGATACCAACTTCTTCCTCACTGCCTGACTCTGTTTAAATGGTCATCGTACTGTGACCTGGTGAGAGCTGCCCATTGTGATGGGAAAAACAGATTTCTGTGTACAGAGAGAGGTTTAATCTGCGACGCAGCCATAGCTTCCCCTGCGTCTTCTCCACTGGACTTCAACCTCTTGAAAACTTCATGAGTTCTTGCAGCCAAAAATGGCTCTGGTTTCTGGTCAGCCAGTAACCAGGGATGTAACTGCAGGAATCATCTTGCCGGCTACCCCAGTTATTTACTCCTTTGAACACACTGGGATCTAAGAGGGTGTTTTTTTGCTGATGGGGGGGAAAAAATATCAGATGTGCTTTGTTTGCAGGGCTGCTCGGTGTGCTGCAGCGCTGCCCTGCCGTGGAGCGGTTCAGAGCCGTCTGGGTTGCAGGTAGCACT